TACCAAAGACTTATAAAAATAATATTGACAGAGGCCTCGCTAGATGTTTAGCTATACGAGGTTTGTATTATGATTGGTCGGACTAGTGTCAAGATAATGTGACTGTGTGGGATATAATGCTATATGTCTGCGGCATGATGCTCCAGTACTTGATATCACTGCAGACATCGTAGGGATATGACTGAAAATTTCTACTTTAAAAATCCAAATCACACATACACCAATCATCTGTACACAGGAAATCACGCGATTTTACCCTAAAACATTGGTCTCTTCCACAACAGGAATAAGATAACCGTCGAGATAGATCATTACGTCATCATGAATTCAATTTGATTGGCAAATTTAAATATTAATATTTAATATTACATCTTAAATGTATTAGAAATGGGTCACTACCAATTACTTTGTTACTGGCTCCTCGAAAGGAACGAAGCGAAAGAGATGGATTATATAATGCCAGATCTAAGGACGAGTAGGATCATGTGTTATGAGTGATTAAGAAGGCAGATTTTGTTTTCAAGCAAAAAGTCTTTTATACTCTCTCTCTCTCTCTCTCTCTCTCTCTCTCTCTCTCTCTCTCTCTCTCTCTCTCTCTCTCTCTCTCTCTCTCTCTCTCTGGCACATTTTAAAGATCGAATATGGTGGCTGCTGGAGTTGCCAGGAGTTTTATTATTTATTATAATGGATACTCCTCCAGCATCCTCACCAGTATTTTTTGAAAAGCTTCTGTATACGGTGACGTTTGTAAACTTAACTCTGTCGTTTTTCTTTAGAAACTTCGTCAGACGGAAGACAGCTTCTGGATCATGCTCTTTGAGTAGAAGGCTAATTTCATCAATATTTGCCTTTAGCCCTCGACAATTCAATTGTAGTAAAGTTGGACACATTTATAAATGTGACGGAAGAGCGGCACAGGTGAAATATCAGAAACTGTTCAGTGTCCATATCTTCTAGACTCCTAAACTTATTAAATAGTTTTATGAGATCGTTAGGTTGTGTTTGAATCCCATATTTGGATTAGTACTTTTGGTGGGTGGAACCGAACTGGTTTTCGGTAGTCGATCAGGGTATCTTACTGGCATCTCAGTTTCTATGACCAGCAGCAGCAGTTGTTTTGTATGACCACTGGCAATTGATATTTCTATGACCACAGGCTGCCGTGATTTTCTGCTGTTTTCACCGGTTGGTCTTCCTTGGGATTTTTTTTATAGCACTGTGTTATTAGATACACACTGATGGAGTTTTTCTCTTCACTCTTCAAGCACAGCTGACCACTTGTTTAGCTGAAGTTAAGGCCAAAGTGGTGTGTTGAAGCGATTGGGCAAACAATGATAGCACCTCTGCCCAGTCACCAGGATCTATCCCTTCCTCCAATAACACGGGACACAAACGGGTTGCCTCTACTCGCTGTCGTCGTATTACATGCAGCAAGAGTCATTCAAGAGCATCTGGTGAGAAAAAAAAATAGAAGAAACAATTTAACGCTATGACGAAAGTCAGTATTTCCAAAATATTATAGTTGAAATATTTCAGAAGATGGAGGTACAAGTGTTGCTAGTGATGAAGTTTGTGTTCTGTATCGTAAGGGTGGAATGTTCTGCATTTCATATAGACATTTCAAGCTGTATACTCTAATGGAAACTTGCCGTTTTTTGCTACGTAAGATGCAAATTTGCAGTAATATTTTTTCTTTGCTACTTTACAAATGCACATTCTTGTGTGGCATCAGATAAATTTGCATGATGCCTACAAGCTAATCTTCATAACACGTGCTTTGCCTAAAATGAAAGATTATTTTCATGATGTATGGTGAAATTCAATCTTGAAAATGAATTAATTAATGCGATGAATAGAGATATCTAATACACATCCAGGAAAGAGGTCAGTGTGTACCTGTCTTAGTTCTTACACCAAATGATTACAGATGTACTCGTGTTCTATTTCTATCTGATATAATTGTGTTTATAAAGAGCATTTCACACCGTGAATTCAACATGATATCTTAGTGGCAATTATGTGAAAATTAATCATCTTTCTTGATAATTAAACTATATTGCCGATATTTGATATTAGGTGAAGAGATCTTAAAGGTAATCTTGCAAGATATATACTTACATATAATTACATTTAGTATGCTACCGTTATAGCGATGTCTATTTCACTTTTCTATTTTAAGTACTGTGTAAAATTATGCTAGCTGTCATTTTGAGCTTGCTGAAAATAAATTGTCACTTACTTTTTCATCTGCCACTGAATGCAGACAAGAGAAATGTAGTAATTCGACAAACTAACAAAACCCCCCAATATTACCATGGTAATAGTTATAAAGCAGAACACTTAAGACAAATAAATTTCAGAACAGATAACGCCATACGATATTTGTAAAGCTTTTAGATGGTTGCGGTGTTACATTTTTTGCTTGCACGTTGTTGGAAAAAAATCATAACAGTCTGGGACAAATTACATTTTCCAATGTTAGGTTAAGGAGAAGGATCTAAAATATTAAACCAATTCATAATGCTTCATGCAAAATGAAGAGATCGTAGTTAACGGTATGTAACGCATATATACATTATGTATATTGGTATTGAACCTGTCATGTAAACACGTTAAAAGGTCGTTTTTTTCAATCCATGTTTCTTAAACATATCACCATAGACCCCGTGTCAGGCAGAATTCAAAAACAACTTGTGTCAATTTCAAAAGTTTTTCATCATCTGTCATACGTTTGTCCCGTTGTGTATTTTGTTTTCAAAGAACGAAATGTATTTATAAGAATGAAATAAATTTTCATCAGACTGTACTGCATTTAAATTGTAAAAATCAAGACATGCATATTTCTTCCTGTTTATGTGCATTGCTGAATGTCTTGATAAAACTTGTACTAAACAAGTTGTTACGAGGCTATACTAATGAAATAATGAACAAAAAAGAGTGAAGATAACAAGCTTTGCAAAATTAAACAAATAATTTATTTTTCTCAAATACCAAGTGAAAAATTAGACAAAAGAACTTACGGTTTTACGAAAAAAAAAATCCATAAATATTCCAAAAATTAAAAATAGAAATCATAGTATTAAAAAGTCCTGAATAAATTTTACTTCGAATCCCGTTGAAATCCAAATTGGAAGTCTATGACGTTTGTCGTAGTCAGCGAAGTGCTGTTGTGTCAAGAGTTTTTTGTTGACTCACAGAAAAATTATTCCAGGTTTTAATTCCGTATAAATTCCAATGAATGTCTTTGTCCAAGAATTTTGTATGTATTTCCAGAGAAAAGAATCACTTGAAATTTAATAAAATAAAAATTCAACTTAAATCGGTCACAAAATAACTTAACGTGTCAATTGTTTGTAGCCCGACTGAACTAAGCGCTATCAAGACAACAGTTTTACACAAGTTTAAGACGCAAAACATATTCCCAGTTGAGGGTCAACATTATAAAAAATTTAGAAGTTTGTAACAATAAACACACGTTTCATATCCGGTATGACCTTAACTTAAATTAATGATTCTTACTCTAAGAAAAATTTAAAAAATAAATAAAAAGTAAGTTGTTTACCAAGACTGTCACTGGTTCCAAGCCAAGGTAAGCAGCTAGATACGCTGTTTCTATTATTTGGTGTTTATCAGTGAAATAAAAAAAACGTCAGGTCAAACAACTGAACTGAATTTCTGGACAAAGTCAAATCCAGTAAACAAAGTTACATTACAATACCATGTAATGGAATTTTAAAAAATTAAACTAACAAAAACCCAATTAAATTAAATACTCATAACAAAGTAAATCTAGTTTTATGCGTTCACAACAAACTTGTCATCTGTGAAAATTTTGCTGAAACAGAGGACATCGTAGAAGGTAAAATCGCTGTCCTATCAATGCTGTCTCACGTTTTACAACAGGTAATATAAAGGTTGCATAATACTAAAGAATAAATTTAAAGTCGCCGTATCTCTTGGATTCTCGTAAAACTCTTTATGAGCGAAGATTAGTATAAATATATATTTCACTGACAAAAATTTTACTACACAAGTTCAAAGAATAGGAAACAATGTTGTTCATCTCCGTATTGGATTTGGTCAGATGATCGCCACGATTCAATAGATAAAGGACACTATAGCTAAGATGACTGTCAAGTGTTGCATGAAGGAAAGCATAGTATTATACAGTTGTGATATGTCCGTTTTTATTGAAAATGTTTGCATTTCATTTATATTGATGTACAGCATTTTGTTCTATCGTCTACAAGTTATCTCTAAACAAGTGGTCACTCAAGTCAGTATTGATATTAAGGAGTGAAAGTGTCCGAAAAAGTATTTCATGTTGTTATACAATTTGCACTCAAGCAAGAAGTGATAGTCATTCTCAGTAGGAAATCAATAAGTGCACGAAGGATCAGTGATAAATTTGCTCTCAATAAATTATAACTAATTATGTTAAATTTGTTTTAGTTAAGGTAATCAAACCGATAAAGCTCGCAGATCGCCGTAGGCTAAACAGCCGGGGACTGAATTAATAAAATTAGTTACATCTTACCTAAAGAATATAATAGTTGAATGGATTAATGCTCTTTCCACGTGTTAAACATGGACGGTAGGAAGGAAGTCTAAAAAAATGGATACATGACATCGAAAATTAATAACATTGCTTGACTTTCGTACATTTTTATGTACTATATATTGTGCATCTGGTAAAAGCAGATTTGTTATATAATCTAGGCATTGTTGATGAAAAAGCACATAGTTTACTCTCTCTCTCTCTCTCTCTCTCTCTCTCTCTCTCTCTCTCTCTCTCTCTCTCTCTCTCTCTCTCTCTCAGAGTAGATCAATAATAGCGCTTCTTTACTTGCATATTTCGGTAGAAGATAAAATTTCATAGACTTCACTCCATAGTTTTATTTGTTTGGTACCTGTTGCCCAAACCTTCCGATCACTTTCACAAAGTCATCTTGCTTAATTCATTATTCGTTGTCCATTTAGGCATGCATCAATGTTTGAAG